TGAGTTCAGTAGTTTTCAATAGAGACTGTATGGCCCCCCAAAGCCTAAAATATTTACTATCAGACCCTTTACAGATAAAGTTTGGCAACCCCTGCTCTAGATCAAACTTCTCTGTTCACCTATCCTAGGCTTCATTTTCCTCGTCTTAATATTTATTTCGACTCTTTACAGACTAAAAGCCATTCTTAACAGAGATAACAAAAGCAAAATGGGAACTGAGGCCATCGACTTCTATTGTCTCTTGGCCTCATATTATCTTTTGCCATTCCTCTGGAGCGCCATCCCCCCCCCGCCAAAGCTCTCACTCTAACTCATCTCCCTCATCCTGTCCTCCCCAATTCATCCCCTGGGCTGCTACCCAGATAGGCAATTTTTTTAATAGGCAAATATAATTTAACCACCTTAAACTCTTAGGGCTTCCTATTATGCCCATGACAAAAGGGCTTGCTATTATGCCCAAGGGATTCCTACTATGCCCAAGACAAAAGCCAAACTCTTCATTATGACATAAAATGCCCTTCATGGCCCAGGCCTTGCCTGTCAGACACCCTTTGTCCTGCTACCCTTCTCCATGTATACTCAGGGCTCAGCTATGTTGAACTATCAGTTGCTATATTCCCTTACATCTCTCTGCATTTTGCATGCCTTCATTCTCCCTGGAACACTCTCCACAGATATATCTTCCTTCTTTTGAACCACTCTTCAAGCCCAAATCAAGTATTTTCTCCTTTGGAACTTTTCCTATTTCTCTGGTAGACGTAGGGGTGCTTTACCCTTCAATTTTTTTAAAAAATATTTTTATTTATTTATTTGAGAGAGAGACAGAGATAGCGAGAGAGAGCACACGAGTGGGGAGGAGAGGGAGAAGCAGGCTCCCCAGTGAGCAAGGAGCCCAACGCAGGGCTTGATCCCAGGACCCTGGGATCATGACCTAAGCCAAAGGCAGACGCTTAACTGACTGAGCCACCCAGGTGCCCCTTTACCTTTCAGTGTTACTGTGCTGTGCATATGTACATGCGCACATGTGAGTGTATATACAAAAATATACGTATCTACCAATCGATCTTCTCTAGCTTGGCATTTTGCATTATAACCTGTCTGCACTAGACAGTGAGTAACTTGAGGGCACAAATGAATTATGATTCTGATCTTGTCATCTCTAGTGTCTAATATAGATTCTACTATAGGAACTTTTCAGTTCAACGTGCCTAAGAATGCTCAGGAATTTTTTCACGGTGCTTCTAAGTCAAAAGAAATGTGTTAATAGCTCTGTTTACTCAGTAGTTAGTAAACAACTTATTAAGTGTTCATGTTCTCGCAACTTAGTAGCCATTTGAAAAAATAATGATACATGTAAATTCAAAGAAAAAAATACACCTAGCATTCTTAAAGAACCACAATTGCTTACCAATGAAATCTGTATAACTGTAGGACATTACACTACTTCTCAAGTACTCTCTCAATCTCTCTCTTAAGTAAGTAAGTAAATAAATAAAGTCTTTAAAAAAAAGCTACTGAGAAAAAAGCTGTGCTGTTTCAACACTAAAGTTACTAAGAAGTCATAAATAAAAGGTAAGACTAAATACTATGAGTCCTAACTGATATGAATAAATGAATAAACCAAAATTTTTATGAGGAATGGGATTACAAAGGGAAAGAGAATAACTTCACATGCAGAGGGCTGGCAGACATCGTCTTAATTAAAGTGGCCAACATCAATAAAGGGATAAATAGAAATTATATACCATACCACTTGATAGGATGAAATGAGAAAAATCAAAATCATTTCTGTGATATTTATGCAAAAATCTATAAAAATTGTGAGGAAACATCAAAAAGCCTGAATTGAGGGTCCTTCCAGAAACTGACTTGTAATCTTCATAAATGTTAGAGTCAAGACTTGAGAAACTGTTCCCGAAAAATAGTGATGAGGGAGACCTGACAACCAAATGCACCATATATAATATATAATTTCAAACTGTATCATTTCGCTACACAGAAATTATTGACATAATTGGTAAAATTTAAGAGTGGTGTGAGAATTAGACACTAGTAATTATTCAGTGTTTACTTCCTAATTTTGTTGGTTATATTGTGTATATATAGGAGAATGTCTTTGCTTGCTTGCAGAACACACACACTAAAGTGTTCAGGATTGTTAAGTAATCTAATCAGCAAAGATTTTATTTATTTACTTGTCAGAGAGAGAGAGAGCACAAACTGGGGGAGTGGCAGGCAGAGGGAGAGGCAGACTCCCCGCTGAGCAGGGAGCCTGATGTGGGGCTCGATCCCAGGACCCCAGGATCATGACCTGAGCCAAAGACTGAGCCACCCATGTGTGTCATTATGTCATAGATGTCATTAAAACATCTCAAATAGTTCAAGAAAAAAAGGTTTTGCTACTGTACTTACAACTTTTCTGTAACTCTGAAACTGTTTCCATTAATTCTAGAAAATGGAAATGAACCTATAATGACAAAAAGTAAATCAGTGGTTGCCTGGGCATAGAGGTTGGGTGGGGAGAGGTAGAAAGGAGGGATAACAAAGGAGCATGAGGAAACTTTTTTGGGTAGTGGATTATGAAAAAGCTTGACTATGGTGAGGTTTCACAGGTTATATACATGTTGAAATTTACCAACTTGTACAGTTAACATGTGCAAATAATTTTATGCCCATTATACCTCAAGTAAAGCTTTTAGTAAGACATTAATTTTTTTTTTTAATTTCTCAAATTAAACTGTGAAGAAGCAGATGTACAAGGACTGCCGCTCTGTGTGTAGCAGAACAGCTGGCCCTACTCCCATCCCAGGTGATTTTCTCTCATTTCTCACCAGGCAAACACTCATGGAATGTACAAAGACAATGATTATATATAGCATCATTCTCCTTTATTTCAGGCATGAAAATAGATAAACTTCACTCAATTAAGACTTTAATGAACATTACTACATTCTCAGCACTGTGTGAGACAGGGAAGGAAAGGAAATAAACATGTATAGGATATCTGTATATATTAGGCAAGGAAGAAGAATGGCTTCTGACTTTAAGGATTGTATACATCAGCTGCGTAGGCAAGACTGACATATAAGTTCACTGTGAGAAACATAATATATAATTAAGTACTAATTTATATAAATGAGTTAGCTTCATTTCTTACCCCACCCATTTCAGCCTCACCAGGAAGAGTAGTTTTTAAGTACCAAAGATGCTCAATTAAGAAACATGGAGGGACACGTGGGTGGCTCAGTCTTTGGTTCAGGTCATGATCCCGGGGCCCTGGGATCGAGCCCCACATCGGGCTCCCTGCTCAGCGGGGAGTCTGCCTCTTCCTCTGCCTGCCACTCCTCCTGCTTATGCTCTCTCTGACAAATAAATAAATAAAATCTTTGGAAAAAAAAAAGAAACACATGGAGATAAGGGTGAAAGTATGAAACCGCGTTTACAGGATAGATTTGAACAAGCTGAGGACAAAGAACTGTATCTCCATGCTGGAACAAAAAGAGGCAGAGCCCCCAGAAGACCCCTGGCATTAACGAATTCATCAACACTTGTAACTATCTGCTGGTCACCTGAGATGTCCATGATATTGCTGAGACAGAAATGTAAAATGCACACATTGTGAAAATGGCTAGAGGCAATGAGTCAATTGGCAATTAAATAAACTTAGCTGACCACTCAGAATCCACATCAAAATTAGCAGAGTCTAGAAGTCACAAAACAAGTGGAGGCTTAGGATATTTTTCTAGCTCCGAGATTATCAAACTGAGATCATTAATAGGTGATATCTGAGATAGTAAAATGTTCAAATAAATCTGATATATGCAATGAAAATTAAGGCAAATTTCTTTATTACAGAACTTCTAAAAGTCTATAATATGCAAATGTGCACTGTACACCTAAAAGGTGCATTTTGCTTAGATCAGGAGTCATTAAAACATCGAAGTATAGAACATATGTAACATGCAGATAGAATGAATAAAAAAGAGCTATTTTGAGAGGTATGGCATCAATAACAAGTACAATAGCTCCATGTGATACTTCCTATGAGCCTCATGCTGTTCTAAGGTTTAGTGCTTTATCTTGACAACAACCCTGGCATAATTATGACCCCCCTGCCCCCCATTTTACTTTGAGGAAAATGAGATACAGAAAGGTTAAGTAAATTGCCAAAGGTCATTTGGCTAGAAAATGGTCAAGCCAGGATTGAGACTCAAGCAGTCTGGTTTTGGCACCCATGTTCTGAAACATTACATTACGTAACTTAATGAATGCCATTCTTACTCATCCATTCCAAGATAAATTTTTAGTGTATTAGCCAGAATAAAAAACAATCATGATGATTAATTTAAATAAAACAACTATGGTGATTAATTTAAACAATCATGATGACTAATTATTAGTTAAAAAAAACAAGAACAAAAACCGGTTAAAAAGGAAACCACAGACCCAAAATGGCATCACTTAAAGCCACAAGCCAGTAAACCAAGACTTACTACCTAACCTAACTGTAGTTTAGAACCCCCCAGAAATGTAATCTGTAACCAGTCAACCTGTGAATTTCCTGGTCAGGACTAGGAAATTTACTGATAGGCCCCTTCCCTTCCCTTTAGAAGGGTGACCTTGCCTAAAACAATGGATCCTTTGCTAATAATTTCCCTTTTTCCACTCCCTCTCTACCTTTAAAAACCTTTCTTTTTCTGTAGTCATTGAGAGCTCCCCTCCACTTGCTGGACGGGATGCTGCCCAATTCATGAACTGATTAATAAAGCCAATTAGATCTTTTAAATTTACTCAGTCGAATTTTTTATTTAACAGCCCTGAATGAAACTGGGAATAAGGGACAGGTGGTAAAAAATTTGTAATTGTAATTATGAATTATATAGTCATGATAATCCATAGTTTATTAAAACTAAGAAGCATTTCAAGCAAAGAATATGCACCCGGTCTCTTAATCCACGGTAAGGAAGACAATATGGTAAGCACTTCAAATGAGCTCTCACCGTGACTCTCTTCATGTCCAGCTGGCGCAGCTGCATCATATTCTGAAGGATAGTGTGTTTGTACCATGACTCTTGAGCTATTGGATTGCCATCAAAAGTGATGTCTGAGAGAGAAGAAGAGTCAGCAAGGCAGCAAACACTTTCAAAACTGCAGGAGAGACAGAAACCACTGGATTATTGTGAGACCTTCCAATAGTACTTTCATTTATTTAATATACATTATTATTTTAGAATAGTTTTAGATTTACAGAAAAATTAAGATAGTACAGAGTTCCCATATACTCTGCACCCAGTTTTCCCTATTATTAACATCTTGTAGTAGTATTGTACATTTTTTTACAATTATTTACAAATAATTTATAATTCATTCATTCATTCCTTACTTTCTGGCACTATAAGATTCTCTAGACTCATATTTCCTACCCCAGTCCTAGAATCAAACATTTCTCCAAGGAGTCATGGTTCCTTTTATTGGAGAATGGTACTGGAACCAAAGATCTGGTGGCTAGGTATACTTTTCGCCACTGGGGTGTCATTTTTTTCATGTCTTCTGCTGACAAAGCAAGGAAATATGTGTGCATACTAACCTGTGGGTATACATATTATTTGTAATATGTAACATCTATGTCTATATTAAGCTAAACATGAGTTCACACTGATGTTCCCTAACTCTAATCTATTATCAAAAGGATCATTCTAGCCTCTTTCCCTTGCTTATCTGTAAATTCCTACTCCAACAAGTAGAAATCTCTCACCAGTTCTCATCCATTTACTTAATTGTTCAATTCTAGAATATATGCATAGTGGTATCAGAATTTTCAACCTGAACCCCCATGGGAAACAACTTTATTAAGTATAACCATTATGTGTAATTCCTTTAGCATTTAGTCTTACACATTCATTTCAAAGTTACTTAGGTCAGCACCTCCCCTCCCGCCACCCCTTTCAGCAAGGCTGTTTCATACAGTTGAAATACACTTAGCTTCTCTTGTCATAGTCTATATTCATAGACTAATTCCTTCCTGGAATCCTCTAACCTCCTAAATATTTTAATTTACATACATTAAGGTTCACTCTGTGCTTTAAAGTTCTGTGGGTTTTGACAAATGCGTAAGTATCATACAGAATAGCTCCATGACCCTAAACAATCCTATTCAACCCTCCTCCTCTCTCCCTCAATCTCTGGCAACCACTCATCTTTTTACTGTCTTTATAGTTTTGCCTTTTCCAGAATGTCATATAGCTGGAATCATACAGAATATAGCCTTTTCACACTGACTTCTGTCACTTTGCAATATGCATTTAAGGTTCTGCCATGTCTTTTTGTGTCTTCAGAGAGCACATGCTCTCTCTCTTTTATCACTAATATTCCATTGTCTGGATGTACCACAGTCTGTTTACCCATTCACCTACTGAAGCATCCTGGTTGCTTCCAGATTTTAGCGATTATGAATAATGTTGCTATAAATATTTATCTGCAGGTTTTTGTGTGAACATAAGTTTTCAACTCAAACTGGGTAAATACTTAAGATTGCAATTGCTGAATTTTATTGTAAGACTAAGTTTAGCTTTGTGAGAAACTGCCAAACTGTCTTCCAACATAGCTGTAACATCTTGCATTCCTACCAGCTCCACATTCTCATGAGCATTTGGTATTTGTCAGGTTTTGTTTTTTTTATATCAGTCATTCCAATAGGTGTGTAGTAGTGTCTCACTGTTTTAAAGTGCAATTCCCTAATGTCAAAGGATGGTGAACTTTTTTCATATGCATAGTTGCCATCTGTATATCTTCTTTGCATTTATAGCTCTTGTGCCCATTTTTTAATTGAGTTGCTTCCTTATTTTTGAGCTTGTGCTCATCATGACAAGGGCACTCCTTAACCCTCCCCTACCTCCCTTCCCCTCTGGAAACCATCAGTTTGTTCTCTATAGTTAAAAGTCTATTTTTGGTTTGCCTCTCTTTTTTTCCCTTTACTCATTTATTTTGTTTCTTAAATTCCACATAAGACTGAAATCATATGGTATTTGTCTTTCTCTGACTGACATTTCGTTGAGCATAATACTCTCTACCTCCATCCATGTCATTGCAAATGGCAAGATTTCCTTCATTTTTATGGCTAATATTCCATTGTGTGTGTGTGTGTGTGTGTGTGTGTATATATATATATATATCCTCTCCTATCTATCTATCTATCTATCTATCTCACATCTTTTTTATCCACTCATCAATCAATGGACACTTGGGTTGCTTCCATATCTTGGCTATTGTAAATAATGCTGCTATAAATATAGGGGTGCATGTATCCCTTTGAATTAGCGTTTTTGCATCCTTTGGGTAAATACATAGTAGTGCAATTGCTGAATCATAAGGTAGTTCTATTTTTAACTTTTTGAGGAATCTTCATACTGTTTTCCGTAGTGGCTACACCAATTTGTACTCCCACCAACAGTGTACAAGGGTTCTTTTTTCTCCACATCCCTGACAACACCTGTTGTTTTTGTGTTGTTGAATTTTTGTATATAATGGATATATATAAAAATATACCTATATACATATAATTTAACAGATATAAGATTTGTGAATATCTCTCCTAGTCTGTGACTTGTCTTTTCACTTTCTTAAAAGTGCCTTTCACAGGGCAGAAGTTCTTAGTTTTAATGATGCCCAACTTATCAATTTTCTCCTTCATATATCATGGTCTTGGTGTTATATTTAAAAATTCATCACCAAACCCAAGAATGCCTAGATTTTCTCCTAAATTTTCTTCTAAAAGTTCTATAGCTTTGTGTCTTATATTTAATCTACAATCCATTTTGAGTAAATTTTGTAAAAGGTATAAGGTCTATGTCTAGATTCTTAATGTGAATATCCAATTTTTCCAGTATCATCTTGAAAAGACTACCCTTTCTCTATTGAATTGTCTTTGCTCCTCTGTCAAAGATTACTTGACTATATTTGTGTGAATCTGTTTCTAGGCCCTCTATTCTTTTCCACTGATATAAATGTCTACTCTTTCACCAATACTACACTGTCTTGATTACTGTACCTTAACAGTTAAGTCTTGAAATAGGTTAGTGTGAGTCCTCCAATTGTGTTCTTCAGTATTGTGTTGCTATTCTAGGTCTTAGCTTTCACATACAAACCTTAGGAATCCATTCGTTGAGATCAACTTGCTGGGATTTTGATTGGGACTTTATAAAAATTGAGGTATATAATTGACATACACTATATTAATTTCAGGTATATAACATAATAATTCAATATTTATATAGATTGCGAAATGACCACCACAATATGTCTAGTATAACACCCATCACCATACAGTTACAAAATTTTTTCACAGAATTTTTTTCTTGTGTAAGAACTTTTAAGATCTACTCTTAGCAATTTTCAAATATGCAACACAGTATTAATAATAGTCGATATGCTATACATTACATTCCCATGACTAATTTATTTTATAACTGAAAGTTTGTATCTTTTGACTTCCTTCATCCATTTCACTCCCTGCCAGCCCGTGCCTCTGGCAACCACCAATCTGTTAACTGTATGTATTAGCTTGTTTTGCTTTTTTTGTTGTTGGTTTTTGTTTTTGTCTTTGGATTCCGCATATAAGTAAAATCATATCGTATTTGTTTTTCTCTGTCTGACTTATTCCACTTAGCACAATGCCCCAAAGTCCATCCATATAGTCACAAATGGCAAGATTTCATTCTTTTTTATGGCTGAATAATACATAACCATTATATATATCTCTATCTATCTATCTATTCATCTATCCAGCTATCCATCCTACATTTTCTTTATCCTTTCATCTGTCCATTGACACTTTTTTTTTTAAGAGGGAGAAAGTGCACAAGTGGTGGGGAGGGGCAGAGGGAGAGAGAGAATCTTAAGCAGGCTCCATGATTTTACAACCCTGAGATCATGACTTGAGCCAAAATCAAGAGTCAGACATTTAACCAACTGAGCCACCCAAGCGCCCCATCCATGGACACTTAGTTTCCAAATCTTGGCTACTATAAATAATGCTGCAATGAACGTACAGATATCTTTTCAAGTTAGTGTTTTCATTTTCTTTGGATAAATACCCAGAAGTGTAATTACTCGATCATATGGTAGTTCTATTTTTAATTTTTTGAAGACTTTCCATTTTTTTTATTGTTATGTTAAGACTTTCCATTTTTAAAGGGAATACTCATTTTTCTAAATAATACCACAGGGCAGGTTAGTAAAAATCATTTATATTAGAATCATCCTCATTCAATGACTATTCAAATAACTAATGTAGGGTGCCTGGGTGGCTCAGATGGTTAAGCATCTGCCTTTGGCTCAGGTCATGATCCCAGGGTCCTGGGATTGAGTCCCACATCAGGCTCCCTGCTCCTTGGGAGCCTGCTTCTCTCTCTCTCTGTCTCTCATGAATAAATAAATAGAAAATCTTAAAAAAAATAACTAAACATTTAGATCTGAAAATACTTTCTTTACTAAGGCACTATATTGAATATCTCTTCTTCCTGTTTTAAGAAAAGCTAGAGGATATAGAATATGGTATAGAAAATAAATAATATGTTGGCAATTAAGGTCAAGGCAAGGTCTATAGCAAGAATAAAGTTCATTATTTTTTTATTGTCACATTTAAATATTTCTTCCATGTTTCCTCTCACTCAAGGTAAAAAGATCCTCTCCTATCAATTATTTTACCTTAGAGATTATTCTTACCATCTAATAGGTAAATCTCACAATTCATACACTTGTTATGGTTTTTGAGACATGTTTAGATAATTATGGGAAGACATTTTCCCCCAGTTTTACTGAGAAATAATTGACATACATCATTATATAAGTCTAAGGCATACAGCATAATGCTTAGATTTATATGTATTGTAAAATGATGACAATAATAGGTTCAGCTAACATCCATTTATCTCATATAGACACAATAACAAAGAAAAGAAAGAATAAAAAAGAGAAGAAAAAATTTCCTCCTGGTGATGAGAACCCATAGCATTTACTTTCTTCTTTTTTTTTTTCTTAAGTAGGCCCCATGCCCAGCATGGAGCCCAACATGGGGCTTGAACTCACAACCCTGAGATCAAGACCTGATCTGAGATCAAGCGTCGGAAGCTTAACCAACTGAGCCATCC